GCAGGAAGGGATACGTCTAGGAATCTATCAGCGACGGGGAGAGGCTAGAGGTTGATCAGACCTCCATTGCCTGCTTTAAATGCGCTGGGTCTGTAAGGATCCGCAGCGCTTAGAGATCTTCACACAGCGTGAAGTCTCCTCCTCCCTTGTTCGTGGAGTCCTCCAACTTGGGCGGAAACCACTCAAGCCTCTTATACGGCTAGCAAGCCAATCACTAGCCGCCACGTGTGAATAATTTAGAACTGGCCAATAATGGGACTCAAATTAGCATACAAATGGCAGGAACTCTTTGCAACGAGCATCTCTGTGCTGCAACAAAGAAATGCACCCTGCAAAGAAAGCTTCAAATTGGCGGGAAATTCTCCCTTGCACCGGGGTTCTCCTTTGCAGCAGAAAACTCCACCGTGCAAGGAAGCTGCAATTTAGCGGGGACAATTTAGCAGTGCCGAAGCACACACAAACAAAAATCACACCCTTTGGGTTGTGACACATGTATGAATGAGCTGATTAAACATTGATCACATTGCCAAGCAATTATAAAACACCAGTGATTTCAAATTACACCTTTTTTCCTTTTGCTACTGTAGATTTCTGGGATGAATGCAAATGAAAAAAGAATTGCAATACATATTTTATTGATACAGGCATTTCAAATAATAGCATTTCATCAAGAAAGTACTCTTACACTGCTTTCCATCTCTGAATCATTAGCATTTTCAGAAACCCAGGAAGTGGCAACAAAAGTTATGCAATTTAAAAGGTTGGAGATTTTCTTGTATTAAAACTCATAGTCCATATATAAGATGTATTTTATCCAATTGGTTTAGTACACATTATAGTAATCAAAGCATAACTAATAATGCATATTTTTCATTAGTTTATTTATAGAATATATGTATTTACTATTTCTGTACCTAGTTAATCTCCATTGTTCAATCTGCCCTTTTATATGAATGTGACTCTTGCTGACAAAGGCAAATGGGAAAAGGTTGCAAGTGGTTGAAAACAAAGTGCTAAGGAAAATATTTGGCGCAATACAAGAAAACGAATATGGAAGAGAACATAATTAAGAATTTGTGATCTTTACAAGAAACCTGGTATCTTGAGCAAGGTAAAAGTGCAGAGAATAAAATGGGTAGGGCATACTGCAAGAACCAACAAGAAGGCATGTGAAGCAGATTCTGGAAGCTAAGGTGGAGGTATCAGAACTCCAGACAGACAAAGGCAAAAATGGGGAAAATAGTAGGGGTGTGCGAAGCTTCAGTCCACGACTCAATTTGGAGAAGATTCGGCCCAATTCAGAGGCCAAATTACCAAATCCGAATCGAATCAGGAGATGAAAAATAAAACTCTGAATTGATTTGGAAAAGATTTGGAGATTCGGAAGGCACTCTTTCAGGGGAACAGAAACTGAGAAGAGAGAAGGGGGCCGGGGGGGGAAAAACTAACATCTGTAGCTGGCCAGTAACTGTGATCTTTCCCTGAGTCCCCTTCCAATCACAGTGCTCTGGGGGAGGGACGTAGAAACAGCACATAAGCCTCTGTCTGCAGTCTTTCTGTGCCTTTTGTGAGCTGTTTCTGCCTGAGCAACAGCGTTTGAACGGTATTGGACTGGCTTGGCCTCCTATCTTGCAAGTCTCCTGCTACTTTCTGTTCTTGGAAAGGATTGGATATAGCTTACTAAGCTGAATTCCTCTACTTATCCCTATCCAATCCATTTCTTTTCATTTATATTTGTTCTTGTTGGTTTTTTCCCCTCACACTTTTGAAAAAGAAAGCTGTGTTTTCCCTGGCAGTGAAACCCCTACACCTATTCTCCTTGAAAGTTGGCAGGCCTCATACCCTCAGAAGGGGCTACCATCCCTGATGTTTTCATACCAATCTGCCTTAACACATACACGACACAAGTTTAGCTTTCAGCAGTTTGAGGTGCCGTTTCCCAGAAACCCCCGTACCTATCTCTTTGAAACGTGGCCAGCTTCATGACGTCAGAAGGGGCAAAATAACTAAAAGTAAGTTCTGGTTACAGCTACTAAAAACAAGGACAGAAGCTTATAGAATTTTGATACATTGTTCTGAAAATGGATGCTAAAGCTGAATCAATTACTTTGATATGTAGGTCACAGACTACAAAGGGGATGACAAAGGTCTTGTATATTCCTTTTTTTAAATAATATTCAGTGTTAGGCAATGTCCCCATCATTAATTACAGAAGCAGTCTCATCACAGTGCTGTAGAGACTGAAGATTTCTGAAGTGTTAAAACTCATACCAGACATCAAGCCAGATCCTGGACAAGATCTGTGGGGCTGTGTTCAGGCAGCAGTATGGATCCAGGGACATGCAGCTGCATGGAGCTACATTGGGGCACTATTGGGCTGAGTGCATGTTGCAGCACAGAGCTTTAGCTATGCAGAGGCATGGAGCTGTGAGAACGTGGCTGCCATCACATCCAGGCAGCAGTGCAGAGCTGGAGCAGGGGCCTGTAGCAGCATGCACTGTGGGCAGCTGCACACCCCCACCTCAGTACAGCTGTTTGGCCAGGCTCTGCACCACACACCTCTGGTGTCCTTGCTGTCACATGCCCCTAGCATTGCCAACCAGCCAGAGTTCTGTGCTGCCACCCAAATGCCCCAGCTATGTGCTGCTGAGTAGAGCTCTAGCCAGTCTGCAGTGCACATGCATACAACATTGCAGGGCCAGGGCACAGACTACCCATGAGTTGGATAGAACAGGTCCAAAGAGCAGATCTGGCTTGCAGGCCATGCTTGACACCCTTCTTGAGGGAATAAAGAGAAATCCATCAGCTGCTTCCCATCCATATAATTTCTAGGCAATCATTTATTAGCTGAGCTGTTATTGTATCTGAGAGACTACGTATCCTGTTATCTTGGATTCATCTTCTGGTCGTTGTATTGTAGAAATGGATGGGTCTCTCCATGGAAATTAGACCTCACTTTGATATTGCTATAGAAGATCACCCAGAGCAAAATGAGAATTAAAAAGACACCTTAATTCAGTTCAGCTTAATTCACTTCTAAAGTAAATTAAACTAATTAAAGTGACTTTAATTCCGAATTAGATTATCTATATAGAAATGTAATGAAATTGAACTAATCCACTTTAAAATTCAATCCACTGAGGGGAAAAAACCCCATCAAATTCTTCACTCCATTGTACCCATGAGACCCTACTCACTGTAGGTGTAACAGGGTGCTGTAGATAGCACAGAGCAGAATTTGATTCCAAATATATCATTTTTGAAAATCACTACAGACTTGAGTAATTCAAAAACAAATCTCATCACAGAGGTGTGTGAAGAGTGAGAATTCTTAGTAGTTTAGTTTGTCAGTATATATGAAAAGCTACTTGCGAACATTACCAGCACTATAAAATAAGAACAACAATACAAATTTTCATGAATTTATTATCAGTAAATGCTTGGACCCGAAGCTGTAAAAACAAAACAAAAATCAAACCTGTATGTACATACGTAGGTTTATACAAAAGAACAATCCTATAAATACTCTTTTTATATAACAGGCACACCTTTATACATAAATACATTGCTCTGGTATTTTGTTTTTAGAGTGTAGTCAGCTGTAAAAGTATTTGCTTAGATCCAATCAAACTGAATTGCAAATCTGTACATGCTTCAGAACGTTAATTTTCAAACTACACAAATTCACTTTCAATCTCATTCTTAGTATTTTAAGAACAGGATATAACCAATATGCATTCAACAAAAACAACCATATGTCATGTTAAGTATGTACAGACAGATGACATTCTAAGCAGTGCAACTGCTAGGCTCCTGATACTTTTAAAAGCACAGAAAAATACTGTAAAAAAAAAAAAATCTTACTTTTACATATATTACAAATAAGCATAAGTCATAAAAATAATTATTGCATTTAAAATGTGAGCGTCCTATTGCAATGTCAGAAATATCAAAATTGTATATAATGTATAAAGAGCTAAAGCAATATTCTGTCGAATTCATTGGCACAAAATGGAAAATTTCCATACATTCATAAGACAATTTTTAAATTTTTGCATACACTGCAATTGCAGCATATTACATTCTTCCCAGCTAACCACACTATCACGTAGTTTATATAAAGATTTAGTTCATTTATATATATGTAAATATATAGAAAAAGATAAAGTAGTTTATAAAGTCTAATATATTTTAATGTTTTTTAAATGCAATAAAATGTTTAAATAACAATTTCCCTGCAATGTTAGAACCTAAACAGTACTGTGGTAATATTGGAAAAGCAGACAGAAATGTCAAAGGTCAGCTTGGCTTTCATTGCCTATGCCATACAGACGGCAAAAAGAACATTAACATGTTTTATAATTAACACTGTGCATTTTAAAATAGGACACTATGCATGTCCAATATATTATTACTATGATTCCTGTAGTACATTAATGTTAGTACACTAATATTAAAGAAACATTATTCTAAAGTATAAAAAGTGTCATAGTAGGGATTTAAAATTTTTTTCAATTTGTGAATCTGTCTTAATACTTATATTTTGTCTGTAAGCATTAGGCAGTTTTCCACCCTTCCTACTGCAACTGACCAGGATATCCTTTTATGCCCAAAGATTTCTCTCTGGAACATACCATGAGGCATTTCTATTAAAAAACTGAAAGGTCATTTCACAGTGCTATTGAAACTCAACCTAGAGGATTTGAAGTAGATCCATGTGCATCCTAAAGAATGTGTTTAAAGTCTGAATCAGTGTAGGATTCATATCAGGCACCACACCACAGTAAGAGCTGCCACGATGCCATTCAGGATTGCCATACTATAACCAATGTGAAAAGAATGTCCCGTCAGCCGCCTAGAGAGAAAAGCAGAAGTCAATTAATACAAACGAGTGGAAAAAAGCCCCAAAACAACACAAAAAAGCCATACACTACGTGCAAAAAAACACCTCCAAGGAATTTTACCAAGGCATTTTAATGCCTTGTTCTAAAAGCAAGAATTACTTACAATTATTAAGAAGCACCTAGACTTACGATTCAAGACAGTGGTGACTTCAAACAACCCTGACCTTAAATTTGTTGGCTTTGTTGCGACTGGGACTGTAAAAAGTCAGATTACATTTAGCTGAATTAATTAACTGAATTGCTGGCCACATTCACAAAGCCTCACAATCAGGGTTTTTGCACCCCTGTCCAAATTATAAAGGATTGAATGGGAATGAAGTTTTTAAAAGCAGTCGTTTTACAGTTCCCTGCCAGTTAGGAGGAGGAAAACAAGAACAAGAAGAAGTATATGGAAATTGGAAATCTTTCTAGGATTTCTAGATGCATCAGCAGGTTAAGGATTCATGAACGCTGGTGTTAGCCTCAGTCTATCAAACAAATCCCAAATAAAATTCAAAGAAGAGAAGAAAGCTACTAGTCAGGTTTCTGACAAAACCAAAAATAAAGTTATTAATTTCATCCCCACCATTTCCAACAGTGGCAGCATGCTATTTGTTGCAAAATAAATAGTTCTGTAGTCAGTGGATATTTTTAATTTAAAATACAGAAGCTAATTCTAAAACAAGCTTCATATAATAAAGCTAGAGTTGAGCATTCTATGCAATCCCATGGCTATGGAATCAGCCAAAGTTTAGGTTTTCATTTAAAGCTATGGTATTATCTTAAGTTTTTGAAGCTCAATTTTCAAACACAATCTTAAAAAAAGTACTATCTCCTTGCATCTACAAACAAAAAACAATAACGAATGGTCCCACTAACAATATCACCCAATTCAAGAAACTAAAATAATATAAAATGGCAACAATAATTTAACAGCAGATCATTTTGCCAGATACATTCCGTTAAGCGAACGAAAATGTTAGGTAAAGCTATTTTTAAAGACTGCCAGAGTAAAATGAAGAGTTCCAGTTGCAAACATTACAAAGCATGCTACAAGTGTGAGGGAAAGGAACAAACCCCTCTCACTGGCAGAAAAGCTTGATCTATCCACAAAAAATCCTCACATACATAATGACCACTTCTAAACTTACTGACTGGCAAAAACTCCTTATTGTAGCGGCCTTTGCCTCCAAGTGTGTCATGAAAAAAACTCAGATGTGGTATGGGTCAACACAACATCATATTATAAAGTAGCATATTTGAACAATTTAAGTGAAAAACATCCAAAATACAAATTCAACACCATTTATTGTACTGTTATTCTTTTCCACAGAAACTGAAGAATGACTGCAGAAGGCAGAAAACATTACAAAGCGTGTAGCCTTGGTACAGAATTCAGAGCTAGCTTGCTACGGAGTAGAGCAGTAATTCTCAAATAGGATGCTGGGGCACTCCTGACAGGTTTTGAAGGGGCCCCATTGCCTGGATACCTGGGCTGAGTTTGCAGATGCTGCCCCAGACAGAGAGCCTTGTATGAACAAAGGGAAGAGGAGAGCATGGCTAAGCCATGCCCAGTGAGCCTTTGGCTGAAGTTTCCCTGTCTGGTTATGGCAGTGGGCTTTGTGGGGGGAGGTGGCAGGGCACCCACGCTGGTACTGCTGCTGGGGCTGGATCTGTCACCTCTGGAGCACACTGCTGCCTTCCTGGCAGAGCCCGGGTTCTGATGGCAGGGACATGTGGGGAATTAGATCCTGGATCTGTCTCAGCCCTAGCCCTGGCCCTGTGCTGTTACCACTTCACGATCCCAGGATGTCCCCAGCTCTGCCCGCCCATTTCACTCCTAAACACCGCTCCACACCAGCCCAGAGCACCATCCCACATAGCCCCCATAACCATGTGGCACCCACAAGGACAGCCCAGCCTGAAGAAAGAGAGCATTGGGAACCTGAAAGCCATGGGGAGGCCAGCACTATGACACAGGTAAGAAACGAGAAGGTAAGAAACAAAGGGCCCCTTGGGACTCGGAGCGGGGGGGCAGCAAAGGCACCAGTCGCAGGGCTCAAGTGCCTATATACTAATGCTAGGAGCACGGGGAAAAAGCAGGATGAACTAGCACTCCTGCTTCCACTAAACACCTATGACTTAGTGGGGCTAACGGAAACCTGGTGGGATTCATCCCACGACTGGGCAGTACATATTGAGGGCTATAGATTGTACAGAAAGGACAGGGTGGGGAAGAAAGGGGGAGGGGTTGCGCTCTATGTCAGTGAGCAATATACGTC